GGTGTGGAGGCACAGCCTGCCATGCAGGGGTTGCCAGCGGAGGGCTCTGAGATGCTTCACAGAAGGGCACCCAAATGTCAGTTTCTCTGAGTCTTTCCCTGTTTTTTGGTTCATTTATTCAGAAGAGTATCCACTTAAGGCAGGAAAGGGAGTGGAGTGGGTAAAACCCCAATGTCAGCATTCTAGAAGCCAAGTCAAGACGCCTTACTCTTTCACGTGTAGCCTCTCCTCTGAATCCTGTTCTCCCCACACCACTTCCTCCACCGTGCCCGAGAACTCACACAGGGAGGCCCCGCTGGTCCAGCCTCTTAGAGAACAGATTTCAGCATTAAACTGGGAAAGGGGTGGTCCCATGATGCATGTCACAAGAGTAGAGACCTTCCGGTCAATGCCCCTGGTTGTCTGCCTTTGGAGAGACCTGGCACTTCCAATTCCTAAACCTCTCCAGAGTTCTGTGGCAAGAACTGGCTTGTCTCTGGAATTCTCCAACCCTGAGGGCATTTAGCGCCCAGCTTCCAGTGGTCAGTTTAGCTCAGCATCACTCAGTTTTCCAACTTGCAAACTGTGATCAACACTGTTTCCCCTCTTTCTCTTTAACCTAATAAATTCATAACTTGTTCAAAATCCCTTTAACTGACATTTTCTGGGGGTTTCAGGAGAAAACAAAGATGATCATTTAATCCACTACGCTTGAGAGCAAGTCCTACAAAATAAATAATTTTAAAAAATAAATACGGGGCGGGGGGGGAGGCTCAAGAGAGAGGGGACATACGTACACATATAGCTGCTTCACTCTGTTGTACAGCAGAAACACAATATTGTAAAGCAATTAGATGTCAATAAAAGATAATAAATGAAAAAATTATAAAAACATATATATGTTGAACTACTCTGTGCCAACAAAACGTAGTCAAGCAAGCCTTTCGCCTGGACTTGACAAGTCTCTCTTCAAACCTGCACAGCACTGTGCTAGCTGGCTCTCAGGCTCCTCAAGCCCACGGCCCTCGCTCTGAAAGCGCTCCCTACCAAGGCTGCCTCCTTTCTGCTTCTATCTTCAGTCTCTCAATATCCAAAGGTATCTTCCCTCATTTGAAAGATGTTTTAACCTTCGTAACTATAATTGCCTTCCACTGGCAGCAGTATTGTGGAGTAGTTACTCCAAAGAACCCTCCTGTACAAAAATAATGAGTTCTTGGCTAAAATAAACTCTTCAGTGCACTAATGGGCTTCCAGAAAGTAAAGAACACCTCCCAAGGACCCCAGCACCATAACCAAAATGAATAACCACAAGCGAACACTCTGTGGCTTCAATCTGAGGTAAAACACTGAGCAAGAAGCAAACTCTTAAGGACAGGGTGTCTCTGAGGATGTAGCCAGCTACTGGGAGACCTAAGCCTTCAGCCTGGCCACTGGGACACTGAGCTTGACAGCCCCATTAAACCAAGAACTGCTAAAGGGGACTACAGTGGTCGATGCTGCAGTCCGTGCGTCCCTTTAGAAGCAGATGCAAATCCTTCCCTTACTTGGGGCCTTAGATTAAGATCAAACAAACAGAAGCTCACAGTCAGCATTATCAAAGACTCAAGGAAACAAGGCACTGTAAGTGCTTAACGAAACCAGCAACAGATTTTGGTCCCCAAGGACTTAAAATATTGGCTTTATGCACACAAAATGTAAAATATCAGTTACTGAGTCAGCCAGAACAGCACACAACACCAACACTGAGGAAAGCAAACCTGCACTGAAAGCAAAGGGAGAACACAGACAACTCTGCAGCACTGTGTTAAAGGGCCGGCTGTGTCCCTTTAACTGTTCCTGAACGCATGGAATCGTGGAAAGACCTATCTTTGCATAATGATACAAATTCCCTCCAGCAAACAATCCACTACCACATCACACAGAGCCCACAGGAAAGTGTTCAAATATGAAATCCTCACATATTTCAATTATAAACTGAGAGCATACTGAGAGTCACTTTACCCTCATAAAGGCAGCTTCACTGATTATGGCAGCAATATCCATCTTATCATGGCAATATTACAGTGAATTGGGATAAACAAAAAAATTCAGTAAGCTGTAATAACCCAACAATCCTAAAAAGCCTCAGTTGATTTGTTCAGTAGTTTGCAGACAGTCCTCTACTTTTGTCAATTTAAGCTTTAAAGACTCCTTACCATTATATATTTATCTATTCTTGAACAGTCTTTCACAAAACTAAGTCAAATATTCATACACTGGCTAATCAATGAATGTTTTCAGCTACCGTACAGTGAGGTTCCATTTTTTTTCCATTCAGTAGTATCTGTGCAATCATTTAATTTTATCACACCTTTATAAACTGTAAAAAGACACTGACAGAAAATATCAATGTCACTAAGACTTACACTAGTGATAAGGAGTCTCAAACAAACAACCTAAAGCGAAGATGAAAATAATTTTACATATGCCAAAAACAGCAAGTCTTTAACCTTAAGAAGATGTCCACTGGACTTACGCTGGTGGACAAACAGCAGCTCAGCTGCAAATGAACAAAAGAGCATTGTAAAATCCTGAACTGCTAACCAAATAAAGGAAGAGGACAGTCTGTCAACACACAGAACCATCAACGACCAGCCCTCACAGATGGCTCCTTCAGTGGGACAACCATCTTGATATAGTGGCCATGACTGAGGAGTGCCATCTTCCCTGACTCTACATGAAACCACCTGGGATGTAGAAAACCATGGTTCTCAAGCATGGATGCGAGTGGGGAGGACAGGGACAGCAAGGGTGACCAAAAACGTGCACTGTATCTCTCAAGCACATCAACCTTCTCAATGGTAAGTCTGAACAAATGCTTTTACAGTAAAATAAAAATGATATTATATTAAACAAAGCACAACACTTCCCTAATTCTTCTCACATAACGCAAAACAAAGTTTAGGGTTTGCAGGTGCGGGCCGGACTGTGCTCTCAGGCTCAGTGGGGATAAACATTGACTTCATTATTGTTGATAAAACTTGCTGGAAAGGAATGCAATTCACTAACAGAACCACATTTGGCACAGTTGGGGCCACAAAGACAAAGCCTAACATTAACAAAACTAACACATGCAAGGCATAATCCCCATTAAAAGCTCAAATCAGTTAAACACCAATATATATTTAACAAATATAGAAGGCTGATTATTAAAGTAGTAAATTAAATATATTAATGTATAAGCCCTATGTGGGCAAGCAAGCCCAATGAAGGCAGAGGTGTTTTGAAAAAATGAACCCAGGAAACTCAGAAGCAAAAGTGCCTTTGCCTTGAGAAAGAGAGAAGCAAACACGAAAGGAAGATGCAAAACCACACCCTTCTGTCTGCAGAGCAGAGAGACAGACACGGAGGACAGACAGAGACACGGAGAACAGACAGAAACACAGACACAGAGGACAGACAGAGACATGGAGGACAGACAGAGACACAGACACAGAGGACAGACAGAGACATGGAGGACAGACAGAGACACGGAAGACAGACAGAGACACAGAGGACAGAGACACGGACAGAGACACGGAGAACAGACAGAGACACGGAGGACAGACAGAGACACAGACATGGAGAATGGACAGAGACACAGGCGTGGGGAGGAAGCAGCAAGGAACTCAAACCAGGGCTCTGCAATCACCCAGAAGGGCGGGACAGTGAGGAAGGTGGGAGGCAGGTTCAAGAGGGCGGGGACATAGGTATACCTATGGCTGATTCATGTTGATGTTTGGTAGAAACCAACACAATACTGAAAGAGCTATTATCCTTCAATTAAATATAAATTTTAAAAAACTGCATTCCTTGTATTTCATTTGTTATTAATCTCGTTATTTTCCAGATTGTAAGTTTTAATGCAAAGAAATGAAACACCAAAAAAAAAAAAAAAAAGAAATGAAACACCAGCAGTTGATCCTGAAAATTATAGGCCCTCCTAACTACTGAGGAAAAAAAAAATTCTCCCTAATATCAGCAGAAAATGGTAAACTCTTCCTATAACTTCAGAAAAAGACAATATACTGTGGCATCATAAAACTATCCTTTAAAATGTTATTTCTCAAAGAACAAAAGATTACTGTAGTCAAGAAGAATGAAAAATCCTGTTATTTCTGATCTATTATTTTCTGTCTTCATATCAAATGTGTTTTCTTTGCAGTATTATAACTTAGAATTATTTACTACTTTAAAAAAAATAAGGCTTGAGCTTCCATCTTTTTGTTTATATTTTACTGTTCCCTTAATGAGGTCCTGTCATATTCTTGCCATTGAATATTTGTATGTAGGTTGATATGAAAGAATAAATGATGAATAAAAGCAAAGTAAAATAAAATTGTTATTTCTGATCAAGAAGTCCCAAACATACCCAGACTCAGAGACTGTTATGTCCCACAAAAGTAACTTTTAACATTTATAGAATCTGTACTTCTGATTGGTTGTCTCCCTTAATAACATACTGGCCTACTGTGCGTGCACACATGCTCGCTCAGTTAGTCATGTCTGACTCCTTGCCACCCTCCTGCATGGACTGTAGCCCGAGAGGTTCCTCTGCCCCTGGACATCTCCAGGCAAGAATACTGGAGCGGTTGCCATTTCCTCCTCCTGGGGATCTTCCCAATCCAGGGAACGAAACCTGTGTCTCTTGCCTTGGCAAGAGGATTCTTTATCACTATGCCAACTGGGAAGCCCAGTAATGGCATTTAAATTAACATTTGCTTTCTAAAAAAAGAAATATCTGTGATATATATAGAAGTCAAAATAAATAAAAGTCTCAATCGTACCAGCTCCCTTATTTAAAAAAAAAAAGAAAAAGAAAAAAACTATGAGTCTCAGCTAGTTTAAATTAATATAGGCAAAGAAAGAAGAATGGTGTTAGGTCATTTAAAAATGAAAATTATGAGGAAAAATAGATTTTTCAAAATTATACTTTTATTTTTCAAATTCTATCCTTATGTTACACACGCTACCCCCAGAATGTCATCTAAGGCAAGACTTACTGTAACTGCCAGGAGATTTTTCTTCATAAGTAAAATGAAGTTGTAACTCTTCCTCTGACATCTCACAAATGAACACTTTCAGCAAACAGCAAATAATAAACAAAGCATTGTGTGTCTGCCAGATGAAGATGTGGCTAGAAAGGAAAGAACAAATCACACAAGAATCAGTGTTTAATCATGAGCACAATCCATTTATTTCTAGTCCATGATTTCTCATTTTGCTTGTAGTATTAGAATAATGTCCACATCTTTCTTCATGACCCATGATTTATGACACTGGACCAATGACATCTACTACAGTTTACCTCATACTTTATTCTGTATTTACACAGTGAGTCGATTTAAAAAACCTTTTTCCTTTAGGCATGACTGCTCTTTGTTCTTAATATTATAGTTGTCCCATATACAAGCAATTCAAACAAAACTAAACTAAAAACAGAAAAAATAAAAAATATAGTAACATAAAGAAAATATATGCAAATACATAACCAAATTTTAAATGGGGCATCATCAGTTGTACAGTATTTCTATTCCTGCTATTTGTATTAATAATCATGGACTCAACAATTTTAACTGAATTCAACATAAATTGTTTGAAAACAGGGAAATGAGCAATCTTTTAAGATACTATTATCCAAAAATAGTTTTAAAAAATTCTTAAGTGCATAATAGGTGAACCTTCCACTATATAAATATAAAACCATGTCTAATCTGAACCTTTGTTCACCTAATATGTAAGAAATAAAGGACACAAATGTATAATGAAATAATACTCATACTAAGTCATTAAACGAGATATATCCAGCAGTGAAAATGGGAAAAAAATAACTTTTTAAATAATAATTACACAATCTTCTTAAAAAATGTATTTCTAAAGATTGTCTAAAATGCTAACTAAAATCAGATTCCAGAATTTATAATCTCACCCTAATGACTTGGACAGTTAATTAAAATCTCTTTTACTTTTCCCCTAAATAATGAGAATAATTCCTTTATAGTTTTCAAAAGACCATAACCTATTTCTACCAATAAGTGAGTAACTGTCATACTGTTAAATATAAATTAAACAGAGAGAGAGCAGCCAGCTTACTTCTGACATTCTGCTGAAAGTTTTAGTTCTTTGGTTCTAGAAAGGAAGACCTTAATTAGTGCACCAAGGTTTCCTGTTCGAGGATTATTTTCAACTGCAAGAGAAGAAAAGGTTTGAAAAAGTTAAAAGTTAAGAACTGAAATCAAAGTGGGCATATCATAACATTTCTAAAACCAAATGTCAAATTGAAGTTGCTCAGGGACCAAGCTTATTGTCAATTTCAAATCTAACTGGGGAAATTAGCAATGAGAGAAACTGCTGCTTGGTCTTAATTCTAAACAGCAAAAAATGATTCACAAATGAAAATTATAGAAACTGTAGGAGAAAAGTTATCTCATCTCGGAACTCAAAACTGTAAAGAAAAGATGTACATGGGAATAAGTGCACCATTAAGCATATGTTTAGTGCTCAATAACTGTCCAATTAGTCCAGGTCTATCAACTGGGTATGTGTTCTTGTCACAGCTTGAGAGCAGATCCAAGTAACTGCATAATCTTCTCATGATAAAATGTGTAGCAACTGGCTAATCCAAGTGTGGTTCACGGACTAGCTGCAAGAGCATTTACCTGGGAGCTTGCTGGAAGTGCAGAATCCCATGGCCACCCTATGTTACAGAAGTTGATAGTGCTTCTCAAAGTTCAACATGCATTTAAATCACACAGCATTCTCATTAAAGTTCATATTCTGATTCTGCATGTGTGGAGTGACTGTGTACCTGTGACAGTCTCCCAGGTAATGCCCACTGCTGCTGGGTGGAGAACTCCACTGATGAGTACCAAGGGGCAACTAAGTTAGGGCAGGTTTTGTCTAGCTTTCATAACCAGAATAGGTATGTGATTAGCTATCGCTAGAGTTTCACACTCAATCAAAAATTTCCTACTTTTAAGCTTTGGGTTTAGCTTAAAAGTCCTGGAAGATTCCACATGCCTCAGAGCAATTCAGCCTGCACACTGCAGCTCCTGAGACAGCGTGCTGCAACTACTGAAGCCCACACCCCTAAAGCCTGTGCTCTGGAGCTTCATGAGCCAGAGTAAGAACAGGGGATATCTGACAGGAAGGCAGAAAAGCATGTGGAACTAGACTACAGAAAGTGACTAGGTTCAAAGCTCAACTCCACCACTTGACTAGCTGTGTGACACCTGTCAACTTCTTTAACCTCTCTGTACCTCAGTTTCTTCACCTGTAAAATTCAGATAATGATAATACTTAATAGAAAACTAATTTGACTCTAGAGCTTGAATCTGTTAACTAAAATGACTGTGTGAAAAAGGAATTCTCTGTGTCCACAGGAGTTCAAGCAAAGTCTAGGAAACACTCAGATAATGATAACAATCTCACTAAAACACCTATTACCACTGGGAATACCCAATGGGTCCCCAAGTTCCAATAACCAATATACTGAAAACACAGAGGACAGAGACAAGTTAACATCTATGAGGACGCAATCAACAAAATCTCACTGTGTAAAATTCTACTAACCACTTTCTTCAATAAGAAAAAATTGGGGGGGGGGGAGACAAATTCAGGAGGAATTAGCTATGAAAAAGAATTGTAAAGACATATTAACTAATAATAACATGTGCACTTGATTGAAACAAACAGACAAATAGAAATTTGAACAGTCAGGGGATGTTTTACAATACTAAAAATTTGTTTTTAGTAGATAATGATATTTTTTCCTTTAAAAAATCATTACTATGAGATACATACCACAATATCTATGGATGAAAAATATAATGCTTGAGGTTTGTGCCAAATTAATTATGTCAGGATATGTTTCTGGATTCATATACACTTTTTATTTGTGCACTTTTCTACACATTTATATGTCAATAAATAAGTGAGAGATATAGATGATGCCTTCGAAGTGTGCTGGAGAAGACTCATGAAAGCCCTCTGGACAGCAAGGAGATCACACCAGTCAATCTTAAGGGAGATCACACCTGAATAGTCACTGGAAGGACTGATGCTGAAGCTCCAGTATTTCAGTTATCTGATATGAATAGATGACTCACTGGAAAAGTCCCTGATGCTGGGAAAGATCAAGGGCAGAAGGGGAAGAGGGCGTCAGAGGACGAGATGGTTGGATGGCATCACTGATGCAATGAACACAAACTTGGGCAAACTCCAGGAAATGATGAGGGACAGGGAGGCCTGGCATGCTACAGTCCATGGGTTGCAAAGAGTCGGACATGACTAGGCAACTGAAAAATAACAGATGAAACAAGATTGGCCATGAGTTGAAAATGACTGGAACTGGGAGATGAACATATGGGAGGTCATTATATTATTCTCTGTCTGCCTTTGTATGGGTGTGAAATTTTTTTTTAAATAAGGAATTAAAAATAAAACACCCATGAAGAAATACACAAAAATCAATGCTCATGAAAAATGCTGAATGAGGACATTCCTTTTCCACCCCAAAAGAACAGGAAACCCTTTAACAAAATAAAAATTCTATAGAACTGAACGAAAGTTTTATTTGTTGGATTATTAGCAGGCCTAACTGCTAAAGTACTTTTGTCTACTCCAACCAGAACACTCAATACTAATCGTCTCACCTGATAGTTTGCTATACAGATTCAAAGGTAACAAGTCCCAAAAAACAACTGGTAAGAAGTAAACAAGGTGAACACAGGGCAACCTTCACCACCTCACATAAAACAACTGACTTGGCTCTCACAGTACTAACCTAACAGATAAGAACTAGGGGAAAACAGACAGGAATGCACTTAAAATTCACTATGAGGTAAAGAAATTTTGTCTTGGACCCAGAGTGCCTCATGTGTGGATTCAGGGGATAAATAAAGATGAATACAAAAAGCCCAACAAAAATAATGGCCACAAACATCTCCAAATTGATGAAAACATTAACCTATGTATCTAAGTAAAACCCTAAATAAAGAATAAATTTCAAAATTTTGTAAAAGACAAAATTTTGACAGCAGTTAACAAAAAAATGACTTATTTATAAGAAAACAACAATAGAATTAAACAGCAGACTTTCCATCTGAAAAGAGACTGAAAGGCAATGGAATAACCTAGTCAAAGGGATGAGAAAATAAATACCAACCAAGAACTCTGTATCTAGAAAAACTGTCCTTCAAAATGAAGGCAACAGAGAACAGAGGACACAACTTTACAGTGGAGAAAATGGACAAACACAACACTGGCCACATAATCAAGGTCAATATCATTAGTGAAACTCATGCATGTACTGTTGATATGATGTGTTGAGATCAGCACATCACCTCTGTGATGCCTACAAACCCATAACTCCCATCTAGCCATGAGAATAACATCAAACAAATTGAGGGACATTCTGGAAATACTCTACCAGCAATTCTCAAAACTCTTAAAAGTCATTAAAAATGAGCAAAATCTGAGACCAGAGGAGGTTAAGGAGACTTGATGACTAAATGCAATGTAGCATCTTGAAAAAGAAAAAGGACATGCGGGAAAACTAGTGAAATTGAAATAAAGTTTAGATAATAGTAATGCACCAAAGTTAACTCTTTAGTTGGGACAAATATATCATATAAATATAAGATGTTGACAATAGAGGAAACTGATGAGGGTTATATGGGAACTCTCTACATGGTTTTGCAACTTTTCTATAAATCTAACGCCATTCTAAAATTTAATTTTCATTTTAGAAATCTCAATATATGGGTTCAACAGAAAAAAGATTAATAAACTAAGGACAGATTAATAGAAAATATCCTATGGAAGGTCAGAGAGAAAAAAAAAGTAAAATATATAAAAAAAAAAAAAAGAGCCTAACAAACATATGGGACATAGTGAAAATGTTAATAAGTATAACAGAGACCCTTGAAGGAGAGAAAAGACAGAATAGGACAGAAACAATGTATTAATATAAATCAACAATGGCTGAGAATTTCCCAAAATTGATGAAAGACATCAAACCACAGATCTAACAAGCAGGGAGGGAGGGAGGAGAGGGGAGGAAGGAAAAAGGTAAGAAGGAGAGAAGGAAGGAAGGAAAAATACTCCTGAACATATTCTAAGATGCTGAAAACCAAAGGATTAAAAAAGAAAAATGCTAAAGTACCCAGAAGGAAAAAACCTCCTTTTTTTTTTTTTTCAAAAGAACAACACTAACACTGACAGCTTTAATCTCAACAAAATGAGAACAACCAGAAAAATAACAGAATGGTGTCCTTAAAGTATGAAAAGAATTATCACCAACCTGGAATTCTACACCCAGCACACCTATCTTCCAAAAGTAAAGGAAAAATGAAAACATTTTCAGACCAAAAAATAAAACAGAATTGTCATATACCCACAAAATCCTTAAAATCTATATGCATTTGTATCTATTAACATGAAAGAAGCTCCAGAGTACTGCTAATTGAAAATAACATATAAATAATACCACTTACATAAAATTGTGCATATAAATCAATATACACAGAATACTCTGCTAAGATTTTGATCTTATCACAAAAGATTAGCAGTGATTTTTCTTTTTTTTTGCTATTCTCCAAAGTGGTTTTAAATATAGAATGACATACTTAAATATACAATACCAAGAGAAAAACACAGATTAAAATAATTGTATGTGTATATTTAATATTATGTAAATGTGTATTCAAAGAAGAAATAACAGAAGGCAAAATATTAACAACAGCTTTGTGAGGGTTGTGGAATATGAGCAAATACTGCCTTTTTTACATTTTAGTATGCTTTCCAAATTGTATTAATAAGTATTGTTCCCAATTTAAAAATGCTGTTTTTGTAAAAACCCCAAGGTCACTTAAAAACTATATCATAATAACTGCATTGATATCATTGTTACACAAAATTAATTCTCAGCAAACTGTCACACAGGTTTTTGAAACTCAGCTCTATTTAGTACAAAATTGTCAAAATCTATGGTTATAACTGAAGAAAAAATTCAAGGCAACTATTATAATAACACCTCTATCATTACCAACATAATTTGTTTTTAAAAGCAAAAATATTTCATCAAAGACTGTTTTTGGCAGAGTAAGTTAAATGGGAGTTCGCTTACATGGAGCATATCCATAAGCTTGATTTAAAAACAAGCTTGTCACCACTCATTAAGCTCTTGTACACCACTTGTTTAACAGACATATTATCTCTAATTTTCAAAGCAACAGTGAAATATAAGTATAATTATCCACATTTTTTAAGGCATACACTTCTTTCCAACTGTTACCAAGTTGAAAGTAAAGTATTTGAGAAGTGAGGTCCAAAAAAGGTAACATTTATTGACAGAAATAATGAACAATGACAAATCCTAGGCACTGTACTGGATATTTCATGTTATCTGACTTTTCCTCATGAAAATTCTGCAATTTAGATTAAGAAATTAAAGCTCAGCTAATAATTAAGTAGCAGAGTTATAATTAAGACCATAAAATAATTCAAGAGCTCAGGCACTTTACCATTAACACAAGGTTGTTATTACTAATTTGAGAAGCTTCTGAATATATTTTCCTATTAATGAATAATAATTATTCTAGTTAACATAACCAACAACAGCATCTTTTGCAACTGGCAAAGGATGAATGATCCTACATTGTCTAGGAACTATACATGCAACTACAAAACAAACAATATTTGGGGCTATTCTCAGTATTTCAAAATTAGCAAAAAGAACAAGCTCTATGTCTTAGCAGAGTCCATTACCATGACTGCAAAGTAAGCAACCATGTGTCTCACTGCTGTTAACTGAATGGTACCCACTAGTGGCATCAATGAGCACCAAGAATAATTAGTACTATTATAATTATCATCATCAAAAATACATCACTTCATTAATTCAATTCATATTGCAGTAACAAAATTTGTTAACAGAAATTTTAAAATAACTGCCTCACATTACACACACATACACACACACACACACACACACACACACTCATTTTTCCTCCTTACCTAAAGACCTGCAGACTGAAATGGTTGCCTCCTCTAGGAGCTTCAACTCAGTACTGGAGAAAGAGAAGAAAGGTAATTAATAACTATAACACTAATCATGTTCCTAACTATAACACTAATCATAATCCGCCTGCAATGCAGGAGACCCCAGTTCAATTCCTGGATTGGGAGGATCCCCTGGAGAAGAGAAAGGCTACCCACTCCAGTACTCTGGCCTGGAGAATTCCATGGATTGTATAGTCCATAGGGTCACAAAGAGTCCATTCCATGGATATGACTGAGCGACTTTCATTTTCAATCATATTCATACTAACCAGTTAAAGGACTATATAAAAATAAACATAAGAAAAACAACTCAGAAGGAAGATACAGTGTACAATGGTAAACAATAACATCAGCAAAATAAAGCTTCTATTCTCAATGTAATTAGAAAATTTACTATAATTCTCAACATGAGACTCCCAAAAAAAGCAATTGGAGCGCATTGCCTTTTAGGTACTGAAGCAGAGAGGAGAGGCAGGACTGGAGGGACTTATAGAAAAATTCAAGAAAGGTATTTCCAAATGCAGAGCACAAGGCAGGAGACTCATGTGCCCAGCACCAAGGGAAGTATTTATCATAGGATTAAACTTCTTTAGATAAATGCCATTATTTTTTTATAATACTTTCAAACAATTCAACAACACTGAAAAAGAAACAAAGCAAGAGACAAAACACATATATATAAACTCTAATAATTTATAAATATATAGAAAAACTGAGGTAGATGCAAACTGACACAGAGACAGGAGGCACAGACATAGAGACAGACATAAACCTCTTAGATTTAAAAAGTAGGGAAGCTTCATGACAGTGGATTCAGCAGTGGTTTCTTACATATGACACCAAAAACACAGGCATCAAAAGAAAACAAATGGACTACATAAAAATTTAAAACTTTTGCATATCAAGGGATACTATCAACAGAGTAAAAAGTCAATCCAACCAAATGAGAGAAAATATTTGCAAATCATATAGCTGATAAGGCATTAATATCCAAAATACATTTTTTAAAAAACTCTGACTCAACAACAACAACAAAAAAGCAATTTAAATATCTGCAAAGGATTCAGATTTTGGAGACTTTATGTCTCCAAAGACATAAAAATAGCCAACAGGTGTAAGAAAAGAGATGTTCAATATCACTAGTCATTTAGAGAAATGTGAATCAAAACCACAATGAATACTACTTCACATCCATTAAGACAGAGTTATTTTTTAAAAAGAGAAGGAAAAGAAAAGGAAAATTTTAAAAAGTGTTGGAGGGTATGTAGAGAAGCTGGGACCCTTGGGTACTGCTAATGGTTATGCAAAATGGAGCAAGTGTTGTGAAAACCAGTATGGCAATTTTTCAAAAAATCAAAAACAGAACTACCATATGATCCAGCAGTTCCATTTCTGGGTATACATACACCCAAAAGGATTAAAAGCACAGAGTCGGAGAGATAGCTGTACACTGAGATACACAGCAGCACTATTCACAACAGCCAAAAGATAGAAGTAACAAAGTGTTGACCAATGGATGAACGATGGCACAAAATATGGTACATGTATATAATGGAATATTATTTGGCCTTAAAAAGGAAAATTCTGATACATGCTACAACATAGATGTACCCTGAAGACATTATGGTAAGTGAAATAAGCCAGTCACAAAAAGACAAATATTGTATGACTCCACATATGTAAGGTTCCTAGAGTAGCCAGCCCATAGATACAAAGTAGACAGGTGGTTGCTGTTGGTGCGTTTGGGAACAGTGAGGTGGGGAGCAGGGAGATAGCAAGCTAGTATGTGGTGACTATGGAGTTTCAGTTGGGGAAGATGAAAAGTTCCCAAGAGGGATAGTGGAGATAATTAAACAACAATGTGAATGTACTTTTATCACAGAAGTGAACACTTAGAAATGGTAAAAATGATAAATTTTTTGTTGTATGTATTCTGCCACAATTTTTAAAAAGTGCATTCCAATTCAACTACTTACTAGCTATGTAACCTTGGGATCATTTAACTTTTAGCTTTATCATACATAAAACAAATTATTTTTTTAAGTGCTTCAAAAAGTGTTGTTATTATTAAATTATGCAATATAGTACTTAGAACAGTGCCTGGCATAAAGGAAAACCTCAATGATAGCCACTCTGATGCCAAAGTGCAGTACTTTTTTCCCTGTTAATAAAACTAATGCTTTCCATTTGTGTAACATAAAAACTTTAAAGTTTTTCAAAGCCCTTTCAAATTTATTAGCACATGAAAACCTCTTCTATTGAGCAGGACAGTTACAAACCCTATTTTATTTATTTATTTTTTTAATTTTTTTTTTTTGGTAGTTTGAGTCTTTTATGCACTTCACGTAAAAAGAGATAAACCTTAATATTCTACAATACAAAGGTATCTGAATTATATATAAGTTAAAGTTTATAAAGGAGTTCCCATACCCCATTAGTCAAAATTATTACCGTTAAAAGCAATCTGGATGAAATATGAGTCAACAAAATTCACAAAGCCAGAAGCAGTTCAGTGCTCACAAGTTTATATTTTTAGGTTTGATAAAGATTCTTGTGTATTTTCTAAATACACAGACCAAAAAAAAAAAAAAAAAATTGTG